CTGCCCCAGCTTCTGGCCTCCTTCCACCCACTTAGCTGCCCTTAGGTAGCTGCTTATCACACTGGGCAGCCAAGTGTGTGGAAGGCAGCTGGGACCTGGAGTCCTATGTGCTGGGGCAGAAGCTGTCCAGCTGCAGCTTCTACTCAATTCAAGCAAAGGTGGAATAACTGACTGATCCTATCTAGTCCAGTTAAAACAGGGGTGGGCAACTATTTTGACTGGCAGGCCACTTAACAAGTTTTGGTGAGCTGCCAAGGGCTGCACACATGGCAGGGCAGCAATGGCACTCTCTAAAAAAGAATTAAATATGAAGCAAGGTTAGCAAAAAACAAAATCAGATAGTCAAGTTGGAAACTGGCCAAACAATTACAAAGGGATCTTTAAAGACTGCTTGCATTTGAGAATTGTGAATTGAACAAGATATGCAAGAGATGGCATCTTCTATTAACATCCTTAATTCACTCTACACTAGATAGCTGGTGTAAAGTGTGCATTTCCCACACAACCAGCCCAACCCAGATCAAGCTTGAGAAATCTTAGGCTAGAAATAGATATTGCCAAATGAAGCGAATTAACAGTGTCAGAATGTCCTGACATAGCTGACCCACTTCATTCAGTGAACACACATTGTTCTTTGTCCAACCTATTGAACTTGCAGGACAACAGACCATGTGTTCTTTCTCTGCCTGCAGGAGTGGCCCTGATGATCTCCAGATCCTCAGAGATCGTTTGGGGGCACATCTCTTCAAGCAGGGAAAGCTGGAACACTCCATTGTGGTCTGCAGTTCTGTGGCTGGGACTGCCTATCACAGACATGCCCCAGAGATTGCCCTGAGTGTCTCTGGAGGTGGGAAAAAGCCAGGCAGAGGCTCCTAGGGCTTGAGGGCCTGATCTTGTACAGGTAATGTCTGTTATTTCCACCCTTACAGAACTGGAAAAGTACCAGATAATATTACTAGGACAGGGGTGTCAAAATTATGGCCATGGGCTGTGGTAGCTGTATCATGTGGCCTCTAAGGCTAATAGAGGAGCTGGGAATTCAGGGGCACAACAATGAGGAAGTGAAGCCTACTGCTGAAATTCAAGACACAATGCCCCCACTGGGCGCACACGAGTGGGGTGTGGGAATGACAGGTGTGGTAATCCCTGTAACTGCCACTAACCCTATTATAGCATCTGGATCCAGCCCATAAAGACCTCTGTGGTCTGAATTCGGTGTAGAGGGCAGGGAGAGTTTGACACCTCTGAGCTAGAAGATACACCAAGACTTTTCCATTATAAACACCAATCTGGAATGTTCCTTTAGTTCCACTGACATGAACAACTAATAAAATACAACACATTATTTTTATGACCTCCAAAGCTTGCTTAAAGACCCATGCTAAAAAACATACATTGAACTGTGTTGCAGAGGGAGCAAAGTGGTGATATGTCTTTCTATAGCATGGATACTTAGAAGAGCCTTGCTAACAGAGAAAGCAGCTAATTAATTCCTGTGTGTATTCCACCGCTAAGCATTTGCATTTTTTTTCCAAGCAAGTACCAAGGACATCTTTTTATAGTGAAAACTAAATTCAGGAGAAGCAATGGGCAATTTGAGAAGCATTTGTTGCAAACTACAAATAAAATGCCAACTTTGCTATATTCTGCACTTTGTGTACCTTTTGGGGGCTTAATATTCTGACTGCTTGAAGAACATGCTATTTTAAGATTTAGAATCATAGAATCACAGAAAATTAACATTGGAAGGAATCTAGTCAAACTCCCTGCTCAAAGCAGGACCATCCCCAGCTAGGTCATCCCAGTCAAGGGTTTGCCTACCCAGATTTCATAGATGTTAGGGCTGGAAGGGACCTTGAAGATGATCAAGTCCAGCCCCCTGCCCCAGGGGCAGGAAGTCAGATAGGGATGGAGGTTCCACAATCTCTCTGGGTAATCTGTTCCAATACTTTATTACCCTCCTGGTAAGAAAGTTTTGACTAATATCTGATCTAAACTTGCCTTGTTGCAACTTGAGACCATTGTTCCTTGTTCTCTCATCTCCAACCACTGAGAACAGTGTAGCGGGGTGGGCAATTATTTTGGGTGGAGGGCTGCTTATTGAGTTTTGGCAAGCCATCAAGGGCCACATGACAGGCAGCCAGGGGCAGATAAATCTTAATTTCCTAATTTTTTAGGGGCTCTTTTATAATGGCCTGGCAGGCTGCATCCTCGTTGGAACCACCCTTTAGGTAGCTAAAGGCTGCTATTAAATCCCTTCTCAGTCTTGCCTTCTCCAGACTAAATAAGCCATTTCCTCAGGGTGTCCTCAGAAGTCACATGCCCCAGCTCCCTAACCATTTTTGTTACCCTCCACTGAACTATCTCCAATTTATCTACATCCTTTCTGTAGTGGGGAGCCCAAAACTAGACATAATACTCCAGATGTGGCCTCACTAGTACCTAACAGAGGGAAAGAACCACTTCCTTTGATCTGCTGGCAATGCTCCTACTAATGCAACCCAGTAAACCATTAGCCTTCTTCATAACAAGGGCACACTGCTGGCTTATATTCAGCTTACTGTCCATTGTAACACCCCAAATCCTTTTCTGCAGAGCTGATGCTTAGCCAGTTGATCCCCAATCTGTACGTGTGCATGGGATTCTTCCGTCCTAAGTGCAGAACTTTGCACTTCCAGGCTAGGGACAGAATTTACACATAAACCAGTATAATGATCAGAAATTGGTTCAAGTTTGTAACATAACAGAAGTTCAGTGCACATAAACCATTTCAAAATGGCTGAAACCAGTTTAAGATAAACATGCATAGATATTAGTATCAAACTTAACTGATTCAGGTTAAAGCTGTTTGCCCCTAGCTAAGCAGGGAGGCATGCTCCAGCACTACCAGGACAAAAACGGGGGAATGCAGACATGTGGCTGCATTTCCAGAATCAAAAATGAAAGTCTGTTCACTTGCTTATTGCTTCAGTCTACACAGCTTAGACTAATCTGCAAAGATTGAATCTATTCAGCCTCAGGCTTTTTGACTGTCTGTACTTAGCCCTAAAGATTCTGGATGAAGTAGCAAGTTGTTAACATTTTCAGTTCTGGCATTCAGTGCACATTCACAATATTTATGTAACAAAACAGAGAAGCTGTTTTTAGACATTTTGATGGAGTTCTGTGTAACTGGGCTCCAGGTAGCAAAGGTACCTGGCTTTACAGTTATACAGATACAAAAAAATAAATAAATAAAAAAGTTCTAAAGACCTGAAGGAGGATACTTGCCATCTGAAAACTTGTCTAACACCTGTCCAACTCTACAGTGGTCTAATAAAATATAGCACTAAATAACCTTGCTTTGCACAAATTTTCTGGACCACCACAGCTAGAGCAACACTCCAACCCTACTATAGCTTTAAAATGTTTCAGTTAGGCTAATAAAAAGCAGTTATAATGGGTTCCTGTTTTTGTTTTTAAAAAACTGATCTACATATGCAAAAGTTGTTTTTCATCAGCTGGTATCAATTTTCTTGATATGAAGCCACCATCACGTTCCCCCCCCAACCACACAATATTAAAGGATTTTCAGAGCACATATTTAAAGTATGACTCCTATCTAGATTTTCAACTATATCCGTTGTCCTGGCTTCTCAGAAAGTGCTTTTTATTAGTAGAACATTAAAACTAGTTTGTGTCTTCCTACTTAAAATGGTCACCCACATGTTTTATTAAAATAGTAACAGACCCCAATAAGGCTCTTGGCCATATTATTCTATGCTGCATGCACACTTAGGAAGATACAACCAGTCCCAAAGAACCTATCATCTAAAACAGAGACCAAACAAGTGCGTCTGAAGAAAACAGGAGGATGGCAGAAAAAGAGAGTTATTACAATGAAACTGCAGTTAGATCTATGCAATACCTGAACTGATTTCAAGTCATGTGAAAAGCTATTTGCAAATAAAAGATTGGACTCCTATGCTACCCAGTCATTACTGATTGGGCAATTTCTTGTTGAACGAAAAGTTGGATCTTGGAAAAGGAATGATAAGAGGAAAACAGTGGATTTCTCAATTAACTTAAGGTGCCAGTTCCACACAGTTTGCCAGTTTCTAATGAAGTAGTTTATTTTATATTGCTTTAATGGATATGACATCATACACCTTTCAAATATCTGTTCTATGTTTACCCAAGAGTCAATCACTATTAAAAAAATAAATAAATAAAACAAACCTAGGGGTTATTTTTGCACTTGCTGTGTATTTGTGATAATAAGCATATATTCTTAACCTTACTCAAAGCAGAAGATTAGGATGCCTGTGAAAGACATAACTTATTCATCTGCATAAACAGGATTCAATGACAAGCTGAAGAGGATGTATTCCCCTCTAACTAAATCAGAGATTTAGGGAAAAACAGTTAAAAGCCAGCCAGCTTTTTAAAGAAAATTGTTCTCTCCAAATACAAAGCTATATACTTAAGTAATTACTATATAATATTGAGTTGTAAACTGACTTTCTTCTATTGCATGAAATTGAAGTCAGACATCACATTTGTATCCATTTCCTAAAAGACCGAATGTTCTTTCAAAATATATCTGTCATTTCTCCACAGTGGCTGATCAAACCTGCCAATGAAAAATGTTTTGAGCGGGCAACTTGTAATACAGCCATGGTTTATTTCTGTCAGAGGCTGACTGCTGAAGTGTGAAAGAAACTCATTAAAAATCTCTCACTGTGATCCTACATTGCAATGCGAAAAAAAAGAAAGAAAATACTTAATGAAGGGTACACTTAGCCTGAAGCTACATTCACATTCTGCTTTTCATTTTCCTCCATTTTAGTAAGCAATTAAAAGACAGCAATTAGTCATGGGAACACTATTCATACTGGTCATATTGGGAGATTAAAGAAGTTAATACTCATTTTATGTTAATATTATGAAAGCAATGAGGGAGATCAGGAATAACATAGCAACTAAAAAGGAATGCTAAGGTAAATAGAAGAATCTCTTACCTTAATCTTAAAACAAGATTCACTGCACATGGAACTTCACTATATTCATTACTAACGTCAGGCTGGGACTATTAAGGGAAAAAAGTAGCACACTATTACAATGCATGCCAAAGAGAAACACTGAAAGAGTTTCCATGTTAGAGATTTGATGTCAACATAAATTATTTAAAACATACCCTCTGACTCTCAAGCACCTTTTTAAGCACTTTTAATAAAGTGTTATATGTCTAAAATACAAGTGAAACCAGTGAAGTGGTCTGTGTATATAAATAAAACAAATCCACAAATTAGAAAGCTTAAGTTAGGGGACCAGATACAAGAGTTTTCACTTTGCATCAGATTCTGATAATCCATTAAACTGTGGTAATGCAGTTAAAATGCTGGGCTTTTTATTTTATTTTAGTAGTTTTCACTCAGTACGTTTCTCATTCTTATTCACAGTAAATTCTTATTTTTAATCTAGTTTTGTAGCTACCCTTGCATCTTAAGGTAGAGAGTTTGCAGGTAGTCTACCATGATGGAAATCACTGGCTTTTGTCATATATTTATACAGAATCCATATTCATGATTTCTCTCTCCATCCTCACATCATCCTTTCCACACCACCCCAAATTTCTATGTTCCTGAAATCTCAAGAAAAAAATATCCTAAACTGTAACTAATGACAGTACCTGAGGGTCCTGTACAGACAGATTCTGTATCTGTTCTGGGATATTATTAGCATTCATGGTAATCTGTTAAAAGATTATTATGAAGTCTTTATGATGTGATTCAAAAAACCCACACACTATCAAAATACATGTATGAATAGTTTTTTTCCCCAACAGTGACTCCAATTAAACTCATGCTTATTAAACACATATGAGGTGTAAAAAAGGAGTCATTATTTTAACACATCAATGCAAGGTTATCTTAACACATCAATACAAAGATTTGTCCAAATCTACTTTTTAAATGCAAATTAATTAAATTACCCTTCACAAAAAGCCAAATAGGAATTCTTTAGTTTTACTAAATTGTGTTAATAGTATTATTATGCTACATGTAATTTTCCATCTTCAGCAGATGAATTATTTCAAAGTAATGAGACTGCATATCCCCACAATGACTGACAAACATGTAGCTTGGATGATATGCTTTAAGAACTTCCTCATAATCTTAGCCTTCAAACTCTGGCCCATGTAATCTTCCACAGTACACAGGAAGAGACAATTCTACATTTCTGAACTAAAAAATAACAAAATCATAACTAACATTTAAGGAGCACAAACAAAGCTGCCTTTGTCTCACAGTGCTGAGTTACTACCATTCTGCAGACTGATTCAGACACTTGAGATACAAATTCATTTAGTATTCCATATATAGCCACAGAGCAGGCTGATTAAGCCATAAAGTCACACCAGTGCATGACTAGTATATGGAATGACTGCTCTGATATTCATCTCTACTTCCTAGATCTATGTTGGAATCTGGAAGAGACCTAAAATAGACAAGTGAATTATGTAATTATTTGGTTCCGGCTCTTAGGCTTTAAAGCTTAGCTGTTAAAAATAAATGTGATTAATTTCTGTAAAAATATCACCTTGAAACTTTTGGTTTCAGAAGTGCAAAGGAAGAATGCCTTTCTACCATATTACTTGTATGGATCCCTGATCAAGAGAATCTCCAAAACAATCACTCCTCAATTAGTGAAAGAAAAATCTGCTTCATTCAAGACTTTCACAAAAAGCAGTCAATAACCTTAACAGCAGAGCTCTCCAGCCAAATGTAAGTGACAGTGCTGCAAGGAGAGAGAGATGTCAAAGAGTAAATAAAAAGTTTCAAGTCATGAAACAGGTGTGCAGCCATTTCATATTTCTGAATGTGGATTTCACTTCAGTATTATAGAGGAAGTCTTGCCATATTAAATGTATAAAGAGCCTTCTATGCAGGTGACTCCACAGACTTCACAACTGGATTGACCATTTATAATCCAAAACACTTATAGGGACAAATCTCTCCCTAATATTAAGGGGCCACAACTGGGCCACATATCTATCTCTATAGCTATATCTACAGATAGATATATACACACTAAAACTTCTCCTCAAGAAAACTATATAGCTAGTGCTTCTTAGTAGATTTAAAAAAGTGGTTCCTATATGTGTCACATAAGGAATCTGCATAAGAGAGCTATATGTTTCAGACATTCGTCCTACCAAATCTAGACTTTGAAGAGACAGAAATCTTGATCTCCAGCAAAGAAAAAGCTTTAGTGAATCGTAAATCATTTGGCCACTGCTGTAAATCTCAAGTAGCATAAAGCAGAGAAAAGCAAGGGGGTTACTGAACAAATCCACAAAGCATTTCCAAACCTAATCAGCAGCTCCCACAGGGACAGGATCATGGCATATAAAGTGTCTGTTTTCCAGAGCTCAGACAGGAATAATTTCACAGATTTCTCAGGCATTAGGGGCTGGGAGGGACCCCTAATTAGGGCATTAGGGGCTGGATGAGATCGAGTCCAGCCCCACCACCACAGGCAGGAAGTCAGCTGGGATCAAGTGACCCAGCAAGAAATACATCCACCTGTTTTTGAAAGAGTCCAGAGTAATTTGAAAGACACAGGTTTTGAATTGTCAAGAAAGGGTGCCAAAATCTTTGAGGACTGTCAGCCTTTGCGAAGGACTGTGCAACTAACTCATCAGTTTGGACTGGAGAAATCATAGCTTCACGTAATGTGTCATACCTCAAACAGGCATCTGAATAGCATTTTGGCCTTAAACCAGAAATCTTAGTCCATTTGTACATAGGAGGATTGCTCCCTGGTCTCCAAGCATAAGGAAATGAAATTCAATATGACATTTTATTTCTGTTTATTGGTGGCTGAATTAAGTTAATCTATTGTACCAATGTAGTGAACCATTGCACTGCATATGGTATGAAGCATTTTAATTACCAGCTAAGTGTTGAGCTGATACAGATTCCAAAGACAGACAATTTGGTCTTTAGAATCTGCATCAGAGCTGTATCAGAACTTTGGAGCTCTTTCAACTACTAAGAAACAGTCATCATTAGTTTGAGAGAAAGGTAGTAATTAGTGTGATCCAGTTATAAAAGCTCATTTAAAAATGACCAGATTACCTTATCGTAACCAGTATTTTTCACTAAACTTCAAAGTTAGAAAGCATGAACAAAATAATTTTAAATTTCCTACCTTTTTTATCCTGTGAGGGCTCTAAGTTCATCACTCTAGGCCAGTAGTTCTTAACCTTTTTAGACTCAGGCACCTCTTGGAAAATGCAAGCTCTTAGTTTTCTTTTTTTTTTTTTTTTTTTTTTTTAAACTATAGATAAAATAATAGAGCAGTTGCTGTTGCAAAGAACTCAGAAAGCCCACAGAAAGTAAAAATGTTTTTAACACTATGGATTCCTATTTGAAATGTCTGGGTATCTTGTAAATCATGTTTGCAAATCTAACAGTGCTAACACTGCATGTCACCCTTGAAAGGATCTCAAGGAACCCCAGGGTGCTGCAGCACCCTGGTTGAGAATCACTCCTCTAGGCCCAGTTGTGTAACCCTCGCCATCTCAACTCCTACTCATTAAATACATGAGAATCAAACCACCTGAAGTTCTCTCTCAACTCTTATAAAATAAGAAATTAGATCAACAGACCTAATCAAAATATTTGCGGGTAGTAAAGTAATAAAAATCATTTACCTCTGTATTTTCCTCCTCTCTAACTCTTCGGGACTGTAAAATAAGTATAGTTGGATATGAGCAATTATAATTTTGTACATTAATTAAAAATAATGCAAGAGGAACCCCACAGTTTGTTAGCTTGCTATCAATATCACCTTTTCCTGAGAAACAGCTGCTTTGCCTTCCTCACTCTTTTCATCCATTTCATCATCGCTCCACTCCCAGTCCCCATCTTCTGTCTTATGGAGATGGCCACTTGAGCCTGGTACTCTTCTAACCTAACAGAAAACAAAATATTAGGTGTTCTTTATTACCCAGATTTCTACAGTCGTCACTTGCATGCTGGGAACTATACAACTGGTTGCTGTATTTACCAGCAGCTCTCCAATGTTTTCATCCTGTAGTCTGCTGCAAGAAAGATCTTTTCCTGGATCACCTTGCCTACCTAACACTTGGGCTTTCAAAAAGGAAAAGCACTTTGTGGACCATCAGTAAAGACTACTTGGGCTAATAAGGATTTATGTTTTCAGAACCACTATTTTTTGTTTAAAATATATATAAAACTGCTTTGGGCCATACTGGGTAAGAGATGCACAGAAGTTGTTGCTATAAGTAGCCTCATGTCAATGGGACCATATTCATGATACTCAGTGTTCCACATGCTACTGTTTCTCAAGATCAGAGGGTTTATGCTTTTGATTTCCATATAGTTGCATAACAACATAAAATTGCTGAACTAAAATGAATAAAAGAAGTTCCAACCTTCTCCCTCCTCCTCCAAAATAGCACCTAAGAATGGTTGGCTTTCAGTACAAACAGAATTGCTATAGACTGAGGAACCTGTTGAAACCAAAAAATCCATTAAAAAAAAAACAAAAACAAACCTTAATGCCCACCCTCCTATAACACAATAGTCAAGTGAAAGCCTATGGAACATTCTTGACCTGCAAGTAAATTTTCATCTTTATAATATAGACTGAAGTACTAAAAAAAAAAAAAAAAAAAAAAAAAAAAAACCCCCAAATTAAGGAATGCCTACTTTAAAAAAGAAAAAAGAAAAAGCATGCATGCACCACACTACTGACTGTGCAAATACATATATCAAGCAGTCTAGCCAAGCACACTAGGAACATCCAATGGCTAAATCCTAAAAAAGGGAAGAAAAAGTCAAATACCCTTCTGTTTCCATCTTGCTCTTTTTCAGAACCTGACATCATGCTTGGTTTCCCCGGATTCTGCTCAGCCTACTTGAGCAAAACAAAAGAGCATCAGACTATTCTTAACATACCTTGGCAAGCATTTATAAGACTCATGAGACTGCTAGAAGCACAGCATGGTAATCAGTAACCACATTGGTGTTTAGATTAAAATCAGTCTCCTTAATTACTTCAACTTACTGAACGAAGACACAAAAAGTAGTTCATAAGGCAGAACTTTAAAAATGCCCTTACAGTTATACTCAAGAGGATGCTTTAAGAAGTGCCCCACTATACTAAGTATAAACATGGAAACAATCTGCTCTCAAAAGTAATCATGATGTAAAAGGAAGAAGGGAACATGAAGAGTTAGCAGCATATGTAATGGGAAGAGCTGTACATAGAAAGCAATTTTCTGCACAGGAAGAAATACCAGAAAAAGGTACTCTTATAAGTCTTCTTAAAAAAAAAAAAAGTCCATTTTAATTACTACTACCTTAACCTAATGTAGCTATTCTAGCTTTTGAAGGTTAAAAAGCTTGTTACCACTCAAAACTACCAACAGTTGCTGGGAACCGAACAGTCACATAAGACAATTTGGTCCAGGTTTGGTTTTAGGTAGAATTTTTATTTGTACCATTTCTCAAAAGAAACCCAAGCCTACAGCTAAGTACATTTTGCTCTAAAGTACACTTAGGCTTGGCAGAATTTGATTTTTATTTTTTAATAATTTTGACAGATAATATCAATGTTTATTTTTAAGCATTTATTTTGATTTGTAATCAATTTAAATTTTCAAGACTGTGCAGAATTAGAGGTGTGGGGGGCAGCCAATTTATTAACGATAAACTTAACTACTCTAGGTCTGCAACCAGCTTGAGCGGCTGAGCAGCCATCAATCCCTGCTCCGCTCACCTGTAGCTCCTTTGTCTGCCTTGTCACTTCCTTCCCCTTTATTCCCGGTCCCCTGGGGTTTCTGGGAGTTGCAGTCCAAACTACATTTAGCATGGCTCTGTAGGACTGCTCCCCAAGTCATTACACACTCCATCAACTATCATTTTTCTCATATACCCTTACTACAAAATTTGATTAATGATGGATATATTTTTTCATCGGTCTGCAAGTGTGAGGTTAAATCAACATTTACCGATAAAAATCTAATCCTACCAAGCACACTGCATACTGATTTATTTCAGGTCTGAACAACTGGCAGCCTCTGAGGGGCTAAAATTGTAGCCCCTAGTCAGCAGCATAGGCTTCCACCATGACTGCAATTCTGCAGCGGCCAACAGCAGTCACTATTTTCAGCATACTCCATTTGCCCTGCCTTAGTTACACCACTGAGTTCCTATACAGATGCAACAGTAGCCAGGGGCTCCAGAATCTCCCTCCCTCTGACTTCCCCTTCTAGCATCTGCCCTGCCCTTGTCCCAGGGGGGTCATGTGGTACAACATGGTCCTGCCTTTAGTGCCAGGAGAGCCCACATCCCGGGGTGCCTAAATGTCACAGTACAGTGGAAAACTAAGGGTAAGTCATGGTGCCTGAAAATGATGCGAGGGAGGGGCAAGTGGAAGCAGCAGGGAAGCATGGGGAAGAGCAGCAAAGGGGTGCAGGGTGCAGTGGAGGGACACAGTGAGCAGCAGCAGAGGGTATGCATGGTGCAGCACAGGGGTAATTTGGTGTAGCAGAAGCACAGCATGGAGAGCAGCAGCAAAGGGGCACAGAGAGCAACAGTATGTGGAGGAGAACCCTGCATGGAGAGGAGCAGCGGAAGGCATGCAGTGCACCAGTGGGGAAGCAGGGGCACACAGGAATGTGGTTCAGCA